AATGGGGTCCAAATGGGGCTCCCATTTACTGAAATACCATGAATTTCGATCCCCCATTCCAAACGTGAGTACCCCAGGCCATTTCCGTTACAATAATAAAATATTATTAATTAATAACTCTGTACTTGAACAAAATGCTCAGTTACTTTTAGCTTTTCTTCTCTTAAAGCAGCCGATTTTCTCTCTAGTGATGTCAGGGGCTGCAAACATATACAAGAAAACACCAGTAGCGGAAGGTTTCTGTCAAAGTAGGCCGGGACCAGGAATGTGCTGGAATATTGACGACAGGTTGAACAGCGAATATTATAAAGTTATATCACCTACTTTTCGGAAATAGCAATAATTTTATTTTTCGACAAGACAACTGCCCTGTTCATAAATTCAGAACAGTGGAAAATTAGTTATTTGAAAATAAAATTAACTGGTCACCCTGGAGCTCGCGGAGCCCTGATTTAAATAAAAATTAACCGAGAAACATGTAAGCCGCAAAACCGCCATGAATTATGGAAAAAAATGCATGGGGCCTGGGACTAGAATACACAAGCACATTAATTCCATTGTTTCCATGCCCAGCAATAAAATATAAGTTTTTAATAAATCTTATTAATATTTTTTTACCGGGACTTTTGCAAATTTTGAAACGAGCTCTGATGTACAGTCGTCTTCACATAAAAGTAGACGATTAAATAGTTGTTGTGTAAATCTGACTTTATTCCTCCATCTACCTTTGTGTAAATGACATAATACTGACAAATGTTCAAAAGTCCAGACGCCCCCCTGGTTTGCTAAAATTATAACTGCAAGTTAGGCAGTAATTTGACACTTGTTTTATTGACATTGGTGTCACATAGATGTTTACATCTGACTGTGATTTGTTGTGTTTTGTTCTAATCAACAAGTCTCAACTGTCACTCGACAACGAGTAATTTGACGTTCCGCAGCGCCAGCATCGGTAGTTAAACTCGCGACTTATCAAAATGACACATTCAAAAGTATTTGAAACAAGTCGAATAATTACATTAATCGACGAAGGATGGTCAGCAAAAACACTAGCTGAGAGATTCCGAAAACCGAAGGGCACGATTTATAAAGAGATTGATTAAATTGTCAAATTAAAACAAGTTTGTGACATACATCGTACATATATTTGACGTATTTCACAAAGCCTAATTTACCAAAATCTGGAAAAATTGCCTTTAGGAATCACCTGCTTTTATGTGACCCCAACTGTACATATTTTATTAAAATTAAGTTTACCAGTTTCTGCGGAAATAACTGTGAAACTGCGGCCTGCGTAACAAAGCTCAAAATACGCAAAACATTGTCTGAGGACGAATAAAAATCGAAACGTTTTCCACTGATAGAACCCATCTTGCCTTACGAAAGTTATGCAAAGATGACATCCGAACTTTTCTAGAATAAATGTTAAGGTTAAAAAACAATTTTAAAGAACCAAAGCACATAAAAAAAATTCTCAATAATTTTCTTACTATGACTAAGTCGAAACTCTTTTCTCACATAAAACGAATTGTTTGTTGCCTATAAAACATGGCTTTGGGCCTACATAAACAACCATATCATTATTTCGCAAATTAAAAATAACAAATATAAATAAAAAAATTCTGAAAAAAGCCAATGAATGAATAAGTTATCAAACCGACTATGATCTACATCATTTACATAATAACTAACTGAGAATCTCCAACTTGCATGAAGAAGCACAAAAAACATAGAAAAGTGTAAACAAATTCCACATAACAAATTAAAAGGCAAACTTAGGCCTGCAAATTTATTGACCAATAAATTGGATCAATTAATGAAGGTCATCTTGTTGGTTGTTATCGAAATTACACTTGGATATTGATCTCACAATAAATTGGTGCAATTTCGGTAAAACCAACATAAATTTCTATAGTTATGTTATGTTGTGTGTAAATCATAGCACATGAGCCAAGAGCAAAATTCTTTGCTTACACCTGCAGAGAAGTGGCCAACTTTTTTGGTTAATTTGTTAAACATATTGCATACAACACAGACGTTCAAGATCTGAAGCACAATAAACAGAAAAAAAAACCTAACCCCCAAATCCTTGCCACTTTACTTCGAGAAAACGCGAAACCAAATAACCCGAAAAATGTCCAGAAAATGTTTACAATCTGCATTAATTTGTAACTAAGTCCGCAATTAATTGTACAATTTATCGATCGCAATTCCACGCTCTACGCTCATACCTATCTGTAGCCCTTATAACTGGCCAATAAATTTAAAAATGTGAGCAAAATATCTCAAACTGTAGGAGTTAAAGAGGAAATACCAAAATTTTTTTGAAACTTTAACACCCTGTATCTTGTTAACGATGGACCTAAGAGCCCTAAAGCATTAATTGAAAGCGAACCAATTCCATTGCAGCTGCCAGACATACGAAGGCGGATTCGCTGGAGGTCCAGGCCTGGAGGCGCATGGAGGTTACGCGTTCTGCGGCCTGGCCGCCCTGGTAATCCTCAATAAAGGCCACCTATGCGACAACCGCGCTCTTTTGGTAAGTTCGATCGTCACCTTTCGGCCCTCTTCATACTCAAGCGTTGTAGAGATGGCTTGTGCACAAGCAAATGCCATTGGAAGGGGGCTTCCAGGGGCGCACGAACAAGCTGGTGGACAGTTGCTATTCGTTCTGGCAAGGCGGCGCCTTTCCCCTGTTGTATACCCTTTTAGCCAAAGGTAGGTTGGCCCTAAATTAGCTTGTAGAGTGTTTAATTTGGTGTTTTCCAGAGGGGTGCGCTCCTAAAAGGCATCTGTTCGACGAGCGGGCCTTACAAGAGTACATCTTGATTTGTTGCCAGTATTCCCAAGGGGGGCTGATAGACAAGCCGGGGAAGCCCAGGGATAGTTACCACAGCTGCTATGCCATCAGTGGCTTATCAGTAGCCCAGCACTTTTTGAATGATAAACACATACTGGGCACTTACAGGAATGAACTGGTACGGATTTTATCCAATTTTTTTTTGGAAGAAATTGGAATACGCATGCGGGCATGGTGAAGCTGATTAATACATTTCGATTTCGACTACATGTCTTTCCTGTTCTAAGAATTCTAGTTGAATCCGGTTCTAAAAATCTCTTCCTCTGACTGATTCTTGGCAATACCGGCTTTTGAACACGAGTTGATCACGCAATGTAGTCGATATTGTTCCGACTGAGTCCGAAACGTATCCGGAATGCGTAGTGCAGAAACCCTTCGAACCAATCAAAGCTCATCCGCATGCATCCTCTCCGCGCCTCCGCAGAAGTTCCAAATTTTAATATTTTTCGGCTTTTTTGCCGTGCAGAAGAAGGTGTAAACGTGGGTTAACTCCAGTGTAAAAGGTTATATTTGGACAGTACATCAAGCAGATATTTTTTTCTTAACCGTCTACACCAGTCCTGGCTGATTGCGCTTGCGCGTCTCACTGTCATGTTGCCGCTATGCACATACTTGGTTTTAACCGTCTAGCCTTGCTCGAATAGCGACGCCTAACCTCAGAAAAACTCGTTTACTTTTTTCAGTTAATTGTTTCTGGTTAATGTTTGTTTGTGTTTAAGATGCAATCTTGTAGGAGAAAAAAATTGTTATGCTGCATATTTTTCTGATGTTTTACAGGCATGTATATAATTAAAGTAAAGGTCATAGACAACATTTAAATACAGTGTGATTCAAAATTGGCGTCATTCCTCTGGGGGTGTTGTCTGGCGGTGTTATAAGAGTACAGAAAAACTAGTAAAAGAAATTAATTGTTATTAAAAACTGAGAAATTTGCAAAAAACTATATCAGAAATACGGCAGCAATGTTTTTCAA